AATCATCCCCAGCCCACAATAGCAGCTGAATTTACTACGATTTCAGATCTTTTTACATGTCAATAAGAAACCACCGATGTGTAAAACAGGCTGACAACACAATGACGTAAACCACACTGCTGCAACTGTGCAGCTCTCAGGTTTGATCTATTGTTTCTCTCTGTTTTTATGACATTTTTCACTGTGGATTACAACAACATCAACATTAGAAAATACATTTATAGTAGGTGATCATTAATCACTATTATTGGCACTATTAAAGGGCTCCAAAAATCAAACTTTGCTTAGGGCACCACGGAGGGCCAACCCTTTTTACACTTCAACAATTGTACACAAAATACAATCATCCATCCTTCTATCTATTTATTTCTTCCGCTTATATAATTCAGCATCACACGGAAGCTGGATCCCAGTTGTTTTTCACAGAGGGCCAAGCAGTGGAGGGAGCTGCCGACCTCCCAGCAATACATGTAAAAGCTTTATTTTACACTGACTCTGGTCATCTTTATCTATCATAAAAATGTTCTTCATGATCTGAAACACGTAAGTGTGGCAAATATGCAAACAGCTAAGAAATCAGGATGGGCTAAATCGTTTCTTACTGCACTTCTGTTAGGCGACTGAATAAAAACACAAAGTCAGCAGTCTGGCTATGAATGTCTTTAATGTTTCCCAGATCAGAATCACAGCATACAGTGTATAATAACTTCTAAAGTAAACAGAAATATCATCACCTCATTTATTTATATAATTTTACTTTACTTTTTTTAATAATCATCTTTTTTTTATTCCATTATTTAACATTTTTCTTCATCTCAAGTCTCGAGTTTCTGAGTTCAACAAAGAAAGTAGAAAGAAGACAACAGGTGCAGATTTGCAATGGACACCAAGCTGAGGGTTTCTCTGTGGGTGTCACTGTCTCTGTGCACGTTTGACACTGTGGACGTGACACAGGATCATCCAATCATGAAGTTTTGCTTTGCTGACAGTTTCTAAGTGTTGGAATAAAATAAATCCAGCAGTTATACCACAGAAAGGACAAAGTGTGGCTCTAACAGCTGTTGAACACACACAGACTGTGATGTTCTCCACACGTCACCCATCGCTCTGCACTTTTCCAGCATCCAACTGTTTTTCTGCTACATAACATCACTGCAGGAGAAAAACAACGGACAGACAGACAGACAGCACAGTGTGACACGAGCAGGTCAGACCACCTGTGTGATCTCATGAGTCTGTGAGGATATGAGGCATCTTATGGTATCAAAGCCCTGGAGTCTGTCAAACATGGCTACATGTAAACACTGCTACATGTTAGGTGAGCTAACATTTAACTGACTGCACTTTTTTCAGTCTCAGTTTAGGTCATTTATGTCCTTACTGCGAATCACTGAAAGGCAAAGCTGGCTTTTATCGCTCTGATGTTACGCACATCATGCAGCACAGATTCATCTCTGATCACAAGACTCATTTTTCAAAATAAAAGCGAGCTAAGGCTTGAAAAGAGGACGACGATTTTATGACAATCGCAGAGAAAAGAGCAACGAAAGGATTTAAAACTTGATGAAAATGTTTTTTCTCACTGAAAACTAGCAAATCCTAATAAACAGCATGACTGGCCCTCTGCTGTGAGGGGGCTTCAGTAGAGATGACTTCTGCTACAGCGACCTTCCTGCTACAGGATGGTCACATGATAACGATCAACGTTATGACAAAAATAAAATAAATGTTGAAAAAACAAAGACAAAACTGATCGGTGGTAAGGATGAACTCATTTGAAACCTCAAGCTAACGGCCATTTTTTTTCTTCTCATTACAAACTGCACCTGTTGTCTTTTGTCATCACAAAATAAGCATATCATTCATTCACTCCAAAAAAAAACCCCCAAAAAACAAAACATAAAATAAACAAGAAACTTAATATTTACAAATATTTTGTCTGTTTTTTTTTTTCTTACACTTAAAAATGTACAGTTCTGATCTTCCAGATGTTTCGTCTCCATCCGTCTCCCAGTTTGGTATTTTCTTCTCTGTCCAGTGACCTCAGAGTGAGCGCTGAATGTGCCACAATGGCGCCCTCTAGTGTTAGCTTATTAAACAGACAAGGAGAAAGAACAGAGCCGAATGAAAGGACTCGTTTGTGTTCTCTCCTCTGCTGTAGCTGTGTGGTGCTGAGGTTAACTACACAACCCCTCGCCGCCTCCTTATACACAGGAGTGAGTACAAAAGGGTTCGTACGGACGCATCAGCCGGCCGTCCTTCTGCTCGACACTGTTAGCTGAAAGATGATCGGATCATCCTCTGTCCTGTATTTAAGGCTGAGAGTCTTTGTCCAGTCTCTTTTCCACAGCTACTGTCCACAGCACTGATCCACCTGCAGCACAGCCCCAGTCAGTTGTTTTATGATTTACATTGTGCACGTTTCCCTTCCAGTGAGCTTACAAAACCTCTGACAGGAGAAGTCAGGCATGTGTTTCCCCCACCTCCCCTTTTAGGCAGTAATAAAATAGAAAACAAACAATCAAACAGGCTAAAGCTAGAGCACAAGCAAAGACAGCACCGGTGACTAAGTTCTCCCATACTGGACGTACGCTACCACGTGGGCTCAAACAGCAGCACATCAGCTCAGTTTACATACTGTTGACATCTTCATCAGAGGATCAGCAGGGAGCGCTGCTGAGCTGCAGTCGTCTCCACCAGAGTGACGGAGCAGGAATCACAAACAGCACAAACCCACCGTGTTGTTTCTACCCTGTTCAGGAGATCTGAGCCCCCATCCCTTTTTGTCATGTTGCAGCTCTGCACTGCAGGCCCTGAACGCCTCCCGGTTACCCTCAGTGTGCTTAGAGTTTAATTTACAACCGACGAGCTCACAGATCATCTGCAGGCAGGTGAACGAACCCTTAATGTGAGGATAATAGCAGAGCTGACCTGAGGTCAGAAATGGTCAGGAACGGTGTCGACACAGTGAAGTCAGGTGTTTGGGAATTTGTCTGATTATCAGTTTGGGGGGGGGGGGGGGGGTCGGTGTTAAATAACAAAGGTGGTGTAGGATGGAGAGAGGAGGAGGGAGGGAGCAGTGATGATATGGAGGAAGGTGATTGGTTAAGCAGCAGGAAGGAGCTCATGCTGGAGTCTGAGTTTTTACTGTTGGCCTTTTTCTGCTTTTTGTTTATTGTTGTCTGACGCGGGCCCGTCTACGCTTGAGTGATGCAGATGTGATATCACACTCACACAGCGACTGCCACACACACACACACACACACACAAGGGGGTCAGACAGGAGCAGCATCAGTCTCTGCTCTGTTTTGTTAATAACGTAGAAAAATAATTTTGTACAATCAAGCTACATCGACGGACGCTTTACCTCACGTACCCTAAAATGAAAAAGTAGTGACAGTAAGATGAAGGCTGCACATGACACCATGACTGAGTTCACAGCTGTTGCTTTGATTCTAACGTTTAAGACTTTTGGCATCGACTCCGTTTTAATAAATGAGTGCTGGGAGGCGTCGTTTGACTTCAGGAGCTCCTGCGATGCTCTTACTCTGCGGGAGAAAACCAAAAACCAAAAGTAGCAAACATGGAGCGATATGACTCGTTTAGATTTTGGGAAACGTGCATCGACAGGTACAGTGTCCTTTTCCCCGCGTCTTTAAAAATAATTCATGCATATGTGGCGAGACGAGGATGGGGTATAAAGTAAATACTCTTTGCAGTTTTAAAAAGACAACGCCACCCTGGGAATTTCACCCAGAGAATACTGAAAGTAACACTAAATCACCAGAAAGGCACTTAGGTTCGCTATACTCAGTCCAGAGACGATGTTCAATGATCAACAAATTCACAATTTATTAATAATTATTTAAAACACCATATAAAAGCACAATCATAAATATTCAAATACAAATATGCTTAAAAAGGTATTCAGAGCTGAGGCTTACCAGTGGAGGGGCAGGGATGCCACACACAAACTAAAGAAAGAAAACACACCCAAAACACAAGTGCAGCACACTATCACACACACACACTCACACTAATAAACTAAACAAGGCAGGTGTGTACACTCAAGGGATCCCACCACCAAGGCACCCTAGTCTCCTCCACGTCGGCACTCCGCATCTGAATAAAAAGAAACAAAGAAAATTTTAATATATTACAACAAACTAATGTGTAGCACCGGGGGATAACCCAACTGCAGGACCACACTGGTGATCTACAGCTAGAAAAAGGGCCTCCCACCAGTGGTGTAACAAAATTCCAAACTACAAATCAAAAGCAATAAAACAACATACAATCTGGATAAAACTCTAAAATCTGGAGCAAACGGAATCACCGTACTGCTCCAACTTGCCGTCCACACGACGATAAGTTAACAGTCAATTAATATGCACGCCAGCTGACTCCGATAACCGGCATGCATATGGCCGTTGTCCACGCCGACGTCCACTGTAAAAGCTGACAGCAGCAGGGAAGAATTCTCACAACGGGAACAGACGGTAAAAGCACAGCAAGGCAAAACAGCAGCACTTCAGTTCGCGTAGCTTGGCGCAAAACTAAGGTCCACACTTCCAAGTAAGCCGGGTCACAGAACGTAAGCAGAATAGCTCAGAGGAGGCTTCTATAGCTACGACCAGCCGCGATGGAGACTTTAGAGGAGTAACCCACAAACGATCTCTATCACACCGAGGAAGTCAGGTGACCAAAAAGGAGATCACAGGCAAGCGATGCAGAGACACTCAAATGGCCACTATTTATACCAGCGCCCCCTAATGGGCCAGGCTGAAAGTGGGTTGGACCGAGGGATAACATTCATCCTGCCACACATAGATCCCCCACTGAGAAAACCCCTTTATATACTTTCTCCTTTGTACACATTTTATATAGAACTATATATAATATCATTTCTCTATATCTATATTTTCAGAAAAATTATTTCCACACAATAAAAAACAACAATTAAACAAATGCTTCAAACAAAACAACAAAAAGAGAAGATGAAAGAAAGAAAAACACGACTGAGGCCAGTTTGGCACTTTGTCATGAGAACATGACAGAACTCTGTTAGTTGACTGTAAATAGCGATACTCTATTTTTCTTTCGTTTTTCTGCTCCCTCGATGAGAAATGAAACACAGCAGTACTTACTTGGCACCTAAAAATGCTGGTAGAATGAAAGATATGAGTGTTTTCATAGTTATATGTTTAGTGTACGCCTCCCCCCTCCAGACTGCTCAGCAGATCGGGAATTTTTAGAGAAGAGCAGGAGGGAGGTGTGTCAAATGAGAGGAAGAGAGCAGTAGTAAAACAGGGATGTAGAAAAGAGAAGCATAATGTGCACATAACACACAGGAGATGGAAAAAGAGATGACGCCAACGTAAAAAAGAGAAAACAGCGAGGAGCGAGAGAGCATTCGTCCCTTTGACAAATGTTGGAGGTCTTGAGCCTGGAAACAGCAGACCGTCTTTGAAAACAGTATCTTTGAAAGATCTGAGTCACCCACCCCACCCCCACCCCAAACTGCTCATCTGCTGCTGTACACTTCAGTTGCACCTCCACATGCCACCAGTGGAGGGAGCTGCCAAGTTTTACAGCACATGACGCAGCAGGTGTAGTTGCTTTTGGAGAAAGAAGAGAATAAGAGGACAGAACGAAGGCCCACGTCGAGAGGCCTCCCTTCCAGAGCGGTAGCAGAGCCAGTGTTCCTGGTCCCTAGGTGGCGCTGTGTCGGGCCTGTCCCTACTATACCCTGGTGGTGGAGTGGGGGTGGGGCAGGGTGTTGTTGTGGCCGGTGGAGGGGAATGTGTTGAAGGCGTGAAGAGGCTGCATGCTGGTGATGGTGCTGGGGATCATGGTGATGGTGTTTGGCGTCATCAGCGGCACGTCGTCGGGGGCGCGGCGCAGTGCCAGGGTGTAGTCGGGAGGGCAGGCGGGCCGCAGGATGTCGTGGGGTCGCAGGGGCTCCATGTCGTGGTGAGCGTCGTGCTCCGAGTGCTTCATCTGCAGGGACATGATCTCCTCCTCCTGGCTGTGAGCCAGGTCGTTGGCGGGGCCGCCCCGCTGAGGGGACAGCCGGTGCCGGCGCATCTCGTGCCGCTTGTCACGCTTGTAGTAAAGGGCGGCGAAGGCCAGGATGTTGAGGAAGAGGAGCGACGCTCCAACTGCAACTGTCACGCTCAGTTCGGTGGAGTAGTCGCGGGTGTCTCCGGGAAAGAGGTCCTGGGGCGGGCGCTCTGAGCCCTCGGGTTCGGGATCTGACGGGAAGGTAGGGTAAGGATGACGAGTGGTTCGAGGAACGTTGTTCCTGGGCCTCGTGGTGCCGGGGTCACGACCTGCAGGGGAGCGCGTAGTGGTGGGAAAGAGCACGTCGTGCAGGCTGTGAAGATGAGGGACTAATTCCAGCCAAAAGGCCACTTTGTTAGCTCTGTAGTTGTCTCTGACACGAGGTTTCAAACCGATGTGAAGGTACTGCTTGTCCTTCGAGTTGAACTTGGTCCAGATGACCTCCTCGAAGCGGTTGGGCTTGGTATGAATGAACTTGGTGTCCTGAGGGACGGGCAGGTTGGGGTCCCTGGTGGAGCATAAAGGTTAAACGTTTCAGTTCAAAGTTATATTCAGTCTCCATTATAAGTAACATGTGGCATCAATACACTGAATACAGACAGGAGGCCCATTCTCTGTGCAACCTTTCAACTATCTAAGACCAACCGGCTGCTCTGGGATCTGGATGCTTTTGGTCAACCAGTATGTTCAATTCTTCAAAGCCACACGGGAATTAAACTAGCAACCCAGATTCAAGTATTCAAGATGACTAGAAGGCTGTCAGAGGACATACAGTAACGTGTACAGTTTACACTACGACATGAGGCCTACCCAGTCTTTGCGAAGTTAGTCCAGTAAGTCATGACCACAGCGCTCAGCATCACATCGTTCTTGGAGAAGTTGCACGGGAACAGGTCCGTGGCACCGATCATCGGTACGCCGAACACGTAAGGTATCTCGTCTCCGTGCGCGGCGTCGGCCCACTCGGGCCGCGTCTCCGTCTGGCAGTGGTGGTAGAACGTGTAAAAGTAAACTGGGGACTGAAACTCAGCATGGAGTTTGGCAGTGGCCACAGCTGGTGCCACCCACTGGTGGTCCGTAAACAGGGCCAACAGAGTCTTCCGCCGCATGTCGCCGTTGTCCCTGTCCGCCCAGTCTGTGTACATGAACTTAATGGTCTCCCTCAGGATGTCTTTGCCTGGTGAAGAAGCACGGGAGGGGACAAAAGGAGGGGGAAGAAAGATAAAAGTGAAAAACTGCTAAGAGTAAAGTAACAGCAGTGCGAGACATTTTTTAAGAGATCGGTCTGATCAAAAGATGTGAAACCAAAGCAAATGTTGGTGAGATGAACCAAGAGCCAGGAAGCGAGTGAAAAATCTAGAGAGGAAAAAAAAGTCTTTCAGATAACAGAACGAGTGACAGGCACAGAGAGGAAGCATGACTGCATTATCCAAACATGTCTGTACTGTGACTGTGGTCCGGCTGTGACGGGTTCGCAGGCCGATCTGTCAGAAACACAGACACTGAGACTGGGAGCCGACTACCTGGGGGATGATAGCATTACTGCCCACAGAGCCTCAAAGGTTAAGGCGTGATGTGGATGAGTGGCTCTCTTTAGCACGCTTGTCTTGTTTGATGCACTTCACTGGGCTCACATGTTACTGATTCCATTCTTTACTCGCATGTTTTAAACGCTTAAAGCACTTTCACAGGTTTTTATATTCTTTTGAAAATTCATGTGAACTCAAGCTGTCAGAACTGTAATGTAAGCTTTGATAATTGTCCACATTTGTCATTTTGATGATTATCCGTTTATTTTAATGAATACAGCAAACAGAAAAAAAATAACAGATCAACAAACGCGGCTCCTAATAAGACAAAACCTGATGATGCTGCAAAATGCAGTTAAGTGAGAGGAGGCTGTAAAATGGAATAACTGAAAAAGTGGCAGTGTACAGAGGTGGCGTCCTCACCCTCTGGGTATCCGTAGAGGTTGTCAACAAAGTTGGAGATGGTGTAGTCGAACGCCGCAGCTGAGATGCCGTCGTTGTCCTCACTGTCGTCCACAAACTTCAGCCCCTCTCCCTGGTTCACTCCTATCAGGATGTCATAGTTTAGGAACTCCCCCTGGTGGAGCAAATGAGGAAGAACATGCTGAGTGCTGGAACAGAGCCTGTGTGCATCACAAGTCTATAACAGGAAGTGCGGCTGAAACACAGCTTTGTGCATTAGCAGCATTTCAATTCCCAGTAAACAAGTGTACAAACTCAAAAAACATATTCCTCTTAAAAATGTGCAAATGTGAACAAATCAACTTGTTAGAGATCTTCATCTCCACTGTAAATAAACAACAAGCCAGAAAAGAAGAAAACTGCACCAAAGACCAACAAATTCTTCTCATCAGATATTGAAGCTTCTTTCCTGTGTGACATAAAAAATAGGAGACAGATGTTTGTTTGTTTTTTTGTTCTTTTTAACTAGTTAAACACCCACGCCCAGAAAAATGGTAAATGGCCTGTATTTGTATTGCGCTTGACTTAGTCCTTAAGACCCCCAAAGCGCTTTACATGTTCAGTCATCCACCCATTCACACACTGGTGATGTAGCTACAGCCACCCTGGGGTGCACTGACAGAGGCGAGGCTGCCGGATACTGGCACCTCTGACCACCACCAGTAGGCAACGGGTGAAGAGTCTTGCCGAAGGACACAACGACCAAGACTGTCCAAGCCAGAGCTCGAACCGGCAACCTTCCGATTACAAGGCAAACTCCCAACTCTTGAGCCACGATCGCCCAGTGGGGACATTTCATTTTCCAGCAGGAAGCTTTTTGTTATAGCCTTTAGATCAGGGGTCGGCAACCTGCGGCTCCGGAGCCTCATGCAGCTCTTTAGTCCTTATAGTGCGGCTCTGCATGGTTTGGGAAAATAAATTAGTATTTAGCTGAAGTGTGTTTTATTTATGCCAGTTTTTTTTTACTTGTAGTTCTAAATTGGAAGATTATTGTGATTTTGCAATATACAAATAAGATTATATTTTGTTATTTTTTTCATCGCTCAAAATAAGCATCACACTCGCGGAAGCCGGTGTACCCGGCGAAACGCCGTGCATTTATCGAGCCTTTCAACACCAGATAGGCCAATTATGGCTCTTTGGGTCTTAAAGGTTGCTGACCCCTGCTTTAGATGAACAGAGTTTTTTAATTAAATACATACTCTTTAATAAATGTTCTCTTTTATAAAAAGTAGGATAATTTAAAAAAACTTTTATTATACCTCTATTAGAAAAAAAAACTGTCTTGTTTTCTGTTGTCTGTTATGTAATATTAGGGATGTTTGTGACAATTAATTTCTTCATCGGCTGGACTAACCAATAGTCCACAACTAGGAAACACTGAAATTTTAAGTTAAGTTTGAAAACAGTTTAAAAAAAAACACCCCATTCCAAAACGTCTTGTGACAATCTCATTGGCTTAGGGAGTGATGATGTCATAGAACTTCATCGAATCTTAAGTCCTTTGATGTTTTTCCTTAAATAGGGGTGAGAAACAGCAAGATTTAGTTCGTTTCAGCAGCATCTGTGTTTGCAGCCTACAAAACGTTCACCACAGAAACATTTGGAAAGCTCTTCAAAGTCATTGTATAGAAACTCCAACATGTTTCCAAGAAAAAAACAACCAATTCAAAAAGATTACGCCGCCTCTCCTTCCTGGCGTGGCCGGCCAATTTCCCCAAATGGCATCTCATCCTTCCAAAGGGCATTAGAGGAGAGTAGGAAGGAAAACTACCTTCTCCAGAAAAAAATGCAACAAATTGAAGAAGAAAAACATCAACTGGAGGACAAGTGTAGACGAATGGAAGCCCAAAATAAAGAGCTGGAAGAAAGACAACAGCGCCAGCCGGACATAAACATTATTAATGAGGGCTGGGGAATCAAGTTTGCTCAGGCCCGAGAGCAGATTGTGCACCTCATTAAAGAAAACAGGCAAAAGAGTGCAGAACTAAAAGAAATGACCAACCAGCTCCAAGACAAGAAAACGATGACTGATAAGATACAGCGGGATCTCCAACACATGGACCGAAAAAATTGGCTCCTCCAAAGACAGCTCCATGAAGCTGTGGAAGAAAAGAATAAATTCCTCCAACAGAAGGAAGAGCAGGACAAAAAGCAACAAGACATGCAGCACAAACTGAAGAGCATGCAGGAAAAATACCGCATGCTGAAAGAAAGCCTGGATGAAACACTGCGCCAAAATAAAGACCTTCTTCAACAGAAAGAGCAACAACAAAAAAGACTGAAAGAAGGAAAACGCATCGTCCAGGACTTTCAGTCTAAAAATCTAAAACTGCAAGAGTTTTGTAATCAGCTGGAGGACAAAGCAACTAAAGTGGAAGAAGAAAGGGACAAACTGGAGAAACGGTGCTCACAGATGCAGAAAAGGATCGATCAGATAGCGAGAAACAACTCCGAGCTCGTTAAGGGGCGTTTGGTGGAATTCAATAACTTGAAGAGTGAACACACTCAAATGCAGTCACAAAAACAACAAGAAGACAAAATACATGAAGACAAAAATCAAGAAATCAAGAAAAGAAAGAAGCAGTTAAAAGACAAGCACAAAGAGGTCCAACAGAGGAATGCAGACATGCACAAGGACAAGCTGATACAGGAGGCAACATCCAAACAACTCAAAGACAAGCTTGAAGAACAACAAGCAGCATTGGAAGAGGTGGAACAAAGATGTGAGAAACTTGAAGAAAAACCACTTGCAGAAACCATCGACGAGCTGAGAAATCTCATCGTGGAGAAAAAAGCGCTCGCGGAAAAGTGCATGAAAAAAAAGAAAAAATGGTTCCACTTGTTCCAGAGGAGAGACGCTACTGCTTCCTCACCTGATGTAGCCTCGTCTTGCTCCACCTCTGTTAACCCCCCAACCAGTCCCGGCAGTTGACTGTCCCCTCCTGAGCCTGGTTCTGCCGGAGGTTTCTGCCCGTTTAAAGGCAGTTTTTCCTCCCCACTGTCGCCAAGTGCTTGCTCAGAGGGGATTGTTGGGGTTTTCTCTCCTCTGCCTTTTTTCTTCTTTTACTTGTTTAACTTCTTTCATTATTACTTCATTTTACCTTGTTTCTTCATTTTTCCTTATTTCTTCATTTTACCTTTTTTCTTCATTTACTTGTTTAACTCCTTTCATTATTACTTCATTTTGCCTTGTTTCTTCATTTTGCCTTGTTTCTTCATTTTACCTTGTTTCTTCATTTACTTGTTTAACTTCTTTCATTATTACTTCATTTTATCTTTTCCTTCATTTACTTGCTTGTTATTCTTATCTAAATAATAAACCAATTAAATTTATCCTTTGAGTATTTTTCATCTCATCTTTACAGAATCTTTCCAAAACATTTTCAAACATTCAGATCTGTCTTTTATTTTCTTCTTGAAACCTCATAAATGGTGAACTAAAAACCCAGAATATGGTTTGAAACATGGTTTCAGCTGAAAGTGGCACAACATGCTTGAGTGAGTGAGTGAGTGTGTGTTTGTGTGTGTCAGGGTATCACTAGTTAGGTCATCATGTTTAGACTCATTCACTTCAAATTTATTTAGGCCAAATCTTTAAAACAGTATCATTTCATACACATTTTCAATTCACTTCAATCGCACAAATGCAGAAATAATTATTTGCAGTATCTTATTTATTATGAGAATGTCATGCCTGATCATTTGTACCTACACCACCAAAAATGGGGTCAGAAGGGAGGAGATGATGTTTAATGGGTTATAAGAAAAGGTCAGAAATATAAGTGCCGACATGAGCAGTGTCCACAGAAATCTCTGAATCTCAGCTCAAAGCTCAAATAAACCATTTCTACAACCAGCAAACAAAGCAAAGACACCAAACAGTTAAAAGAGCAGTGACGTCACCACGAATCTGTGGTCAGGTAATATCCATGTTTTGATTGATGATTCTCTGGAGTTAAATGTGAACCGAAGCATATTTTGGGTGTTATATGCTATTAAAGACTTCAATAAAATAATCTCTAATTAATTAGGTGTGGGAAATAAAAAAAATCAAAATTTTCTATGTTTGAGTCACAGTAACTTTTAGTTACAACACTTTCAAGCACTTTTCAAACCTTGAAAAGACAATATTAAACTTCAAGCATTTTCAAGGATTCCAAGACTGACTCTTAAGGCCATGATCTTCATCATATTGCGTGTTCTGCAGGTCTGCAAGTCTGCAGTGTCGATTAATGCATAGAGCTGCAAAACTCACACTTCTTCCTCTCACACACAATATGTCACTGTAGTGATTTTCACGTTACTGCTTTCTGCACACCTGTTTGATTTTTTTCACCTTACATAAAACACTTCCCCCGTCTCCAAAATGACTTTCACATTAATGACACTGACTGCATCAGCAATCTCTTCAGAATGTAGCATTTATTTAATCAAATAATAAAACTTTTTAAGAATCTCTTTTGTAATTTAAAATCCTGGTCAACCAGCAGTGGTTACTTACACTAATAATACACACAAATCAACTTTTTCAGTTTTTCACTTAGAAGATGGTCCAAAATACCATCTGGATGGATGAATAAAGAAGAAGAAGAATTTTTTATTCTTGTCACATGAAAATATTTCAATCAAACTGAGAAGAGAAACCTGCTCTTTGAAAACCTCGACGACTCTCTGTCAGCTTTGAATTACAGGATCACATCTTGCTGCTTTAAGGTTCTGTTCCAGCTTAACATTTTCCAGGTCTGACTACATTTAGCTTATTTGCTACTGTCTCTTGTTGCTTCCTGTTTCATTTTGGTAGCGATTGTTGGAAGAAAACTGCTCTCCCAGTTAGTTTTACTTGTCCCAGTCAGATCGCTCTTTGTCTTTATAGTTGTGTCTCATCTTTGCGTGTACTTGTGTTTATACTTTTCTTTAATAAAGTCTTATTTGTTTGCTTTTTGGGCTTCTGGCGAACACTCATGGCAACACAAGAGAAACTTCTCAGTGTGTCTAAAGTATAACACCCTGATCATGTACATCACCAACACTGCAGTTATTTTCTCTGCAGTTATTTTGGTTTCACGTCACGGCTGATCCCAGGAGTTCTCACCACTTTGCTTGGATAATAAAACACAACAGAGATGTGCGGCTGCTGTTATCAGACCCTCACCTGCTGCATGAGAATCTCTGGATCATCAGGAACTACGTCTCCGTCCACAACAGGCCCAAAGGCGATGTGATAGCGGGCCGGCTGGATGTCTTGGTCCACCAGCTCTCTGAAGTTCTTGCGCCTCAGGCAGTCAACCAGGTCAGCCGTCTCTGCGTAGGTGCAACCCACCTTCCGGGCCAGGATCTTGGTGTACTTGAGGGGTTGGTAGTTAACGGACCAGCTGGAGATGGCTGTGCCACTCTGCGCTATGGCCCTGTGGAACAGACCTGAAAGAAGACGTGGGAAAGAAAGACATTTTGGTGAGGTTCAGGGCAGAGGGAGGATGCCTGATGTATAAATCACATAACTTTCTTTCTGCTAGAGAACTTGATTAAAAATACAGTTTAACAATTTTTCGTCATCACGTTTCTTACTAGAGAAAAGCTGGTAGACACAGGATGGGACTACAGACCCAGAGCATCACTGACGGAGCATGTTATGGAGCTTTAGCTCAAAAAAGTGGAGGCAGGACTGGGAAAAAGCTCATCTGAGATGTCAAAAGATCTATTTTTTCCTTTCTTGAGCTGCTTTTCCCCCCCTCCAAGCTTCTCTTGGATGTATTTTCCCCTCTCTGTCTCCCTCTTTTTCTCTCTCTCTCCTTTAGTTCTGGCTGTCCTGTGCTGTTTAAACCACTCAAGTGGCTCATTAAGGGGGCCGCCTGGCTCTCTCTCGTTTCCTCCCGGGCTCCCTTTTTTCTTTCTCTCCCTTCTCCTGGGCCAAAGATTGGTCAGTTAATTATTAAGCAGAGCTGCAGAGCCTTCTTTCCCTGGGAAATCAATTATAGTAAGAAGTAGCTTGGAAACAGCTATACCTACATATCTGCACTGAGAGAGGCCGAGGAGGGGAGGAGAGACAGACAGAGAGGGTATATTTTATTCGTCTTCAAAATCAGTTTCTTTGTCGCTCCTTTAGTGCCTCTTGCCTTCGCTGCTTGAAACCTTGCTCTACTTGGCTGCTGCTTTTTTCGTATTTTCCATTTCAAAGCATTTTATTCCCTCTTTCTCCTCTTCAGCATAGTCTCCTGTTTCTCATCCTGTCCTTGTCTCACTCCTCTTAACTGTGGATGGATACTGATTACTGTCCTCTGCCTCCCTCTAACCTTCATATCAGTATCACTAACAACCCCCTCCCTACGTCCTGCTATCCGTCCTGTAAGCCTCTGATGTCAGCCCTGATCTGTGACACTGTGTTGTTGACATGATTGGTGTCCATTAAGTGTGAGGATGACAGACTCCTTACCTGGCACCCTGGTGGAGGGGAGAAGGGGGGGAGGCATGACAGACAGGTGGCGTCTAGTGGACTGATGTAACGCCATTAGATGCTGATGAAGAGGAAGATGACGACGGGGTGATGAGAAAGCGCAGGCATGAGGACAGACAGGTGACAGTGAGGGACGGGGTGAGGCTGGTTGTCAGCAACAAGACAAAAGGGGTAAACAGCGGCATTCCTCGGTTTTTAAGGTTGTGCTTTAGATTTTTTTTTTTAATTTGAGCTCATGTTGGAGCTGGAACGTAATCATTATGGATTAGCATTAATGCTAGAAGCAGAGCAAGTTAGACACTATAATTAGAGACATCTCTGGAGCTCATTCACACAGAGAAAGAAAATGTGAAGAAAAGGTAACATTTTACATTAAAGCACATAAATCTACAACTGACAAGCTGCTTATTAGCATGTTAGCGACAGAATGGCTCCTCATCAGTCACAATGTTTATTAAGCATTAACGTCTAAGTCTGCATATTCTGCAACTAGAAGACCATTTAGAGTTTCCTCACTAACCTTCTTATTGCTGTTTAATAACTGCTGAGCAACCTGTTAGCCATGGGCACGATTTTACTTTAGAACAGGGAATATGTTCTGAGTTAGCTGTAGTTTTGTGGTCAGTCACCCACATTTACTACATGTTATTAATCTTGCAGGATGGCACCACCACCCTTTAACCCTCTCAAGGCAGGCGTTGTAAAAGCTAACAACCTGATTACCCCACACACATTTTATGAGTTTTTTTTTACTCAGAAGTACCACTGCAGGTATTCTTTTGTGCATTAGCAACAGAAACTTAATTTGAGCCTGAGAGGGTTAAAGGGCTATACACATGGAACTAGTGGTGTCATGGAAACCAGCGACCAATGACTTGTAGTCACAGAAGTACTGAGTACTGAGGTAAACATTCCACATCCACCAATGAGAACAAAGAATACCTCTGACTAACACATGACAGGGCTGTGAAACATACAATCTTAAAAAGTTAACTATATAAATAAACATGAAAAATGATATGCTAGCAAACAGACTTTACACATCAATACTTAAAATCATCAGTCATAGCACTCATACTTTAACTGTTATTTACTGTTGTTATGCAGTAATGACGAGGTTTTTAAAGGATAACTGAACTAATGGTCATGGAGCTGTGGAATATTGCCATGAATTGTAAGCTGTTATTACATATTTTCATGATAACTAATAAAGAGACCAGAAGCAACTAATAACAATAATAATAATGGATTGGATTTATATAGCGCTTTTCAAGGCACCCAAAGTGCTTTACAATTCCATTATTCATTCACTCTCACATTCACACACACTAATATGGACTTATAATTAAAATGTGTATTTTTATATAAAGTATTCCCATTAATAAAACTAATAATAATAATGAAAGCACGTAAGTTACAATAACCCATTTAATATTAGTCACTTTGCGGGATGTCGGGCTAGTTATTTACCTCTTTTAACTTATGCTAATCACACCATGACTTAGCAACACAAAGAAAATACAAACTTTTCCCTCCAAAGTGTTAAAGAAGTGAAGTTACCAGGCTTTATAGGTTATATTTGTGTATATGCAATCAGACAGGGGTGCTCAACAGGAAAGTCTGGGGGTGGTCTGGGTTAATGTGAAGGGTTAACAGACATCAGCGGTAATTACAGACATTGTGTTAAACAGATACAGTGACACAGCAGCAGCGCACGGATGCTCATTCAAGCTTTGACAACACATTTGTTTTCAAGGCACATCTACGCCGACAGAATGAGTCAAAATTAGAGACAAGTCAGACGTCTGCTTGGTGCTTCAGACACGCACGCACACACACGCACAGAGCAGTAATTGAAACAGATGCGTGGTTGTGTGAACACACTCTCTAATCTCTCTTGTTCTTCTCACCCACCATTTCTTTCCTGTTTCTGTCCTTTGCAGTTTGTGTGTGCGAGACGGAAAATGAAGAGAGGGGAGACATATTGAGGGAGAGTCCTCGAGCAGCCGAGAGAACAGAGGAGCCACGACTGGAGGAGGACAGCTTCAAGAACAGCATGATCAAAGGCGGCGAGCGCGTGACCGTTTGGCTGCGGATCGTCGGCCACGCTGATCTCAGTTCCGATCAAAGTCGATTGGTCTGTCGGCCTCTGTCTTTTGGCGGTGCGGTGTTAACACTTAGCCCTCGGGGTTTGTTGTTGGTAATGGGGAGCACGAGGTCAGATAGATGTTGGATTTTCAGTGGAGAGAGAGACTTCCTGCTGCAGAGCAGTGAAGCGCGGACAGAGGAGCGCATGCCAAAGGCAGGTAATTCAGGGTAATGCTGGAGCTCCCACGCCATTTATCCTCCAAAGAAATGAATATCATAACGTGGATCAAACCTCCGCTCGCACATTAGCTACACGACTGCTTAAATTGTTCAGTTCAAAGGACAAGCAGTGTTTTCCTTTGGGATAAAGGTGTCAAGTGAACATCACAGGACTTAACTGTTTCTGGGCTGGAAGCTATCCGCTGTGCTTCTATACGTGACAATCATATTTTACATTAAATAAAACATGGCTCACTAAAGAGAGCTGAACTGACTGACTGAGGACAGAAACTTTAGTCATTCAGACAGAATGTACGCAAAGGACAAAAATATATTAGTCGAGAAATGTATGTTAAAGGAGGCATGGTCCTCCCCGTGGTCCTCCCCGGTCTCTAGCTGAACCACACATCTTTCCGTAGTCTGACATGCTTCACATTGTGTGACGCAGCAGAGCACCACAGATGTGCAGAGGACACAAACTGCATCAGTTTGCTGTAAATGAATAAAACTGCACAGATAAACAACTCTCCACGTTATTCACTAGTCCAGAGCACAACACCTTCATCCTGTATTTCATTTTTTGTTGCGCCTGGCCTGCACACATCTGGCCACTAAGCAGACTGAAGGTGTGATTTATAGCGACGGATGTTGGTTCATTTAGAGTTTTGTCTCTGTGAAAAGAAATAAACGACGGGAAAAAACTACAAATTTTTAAGCTTATCAGATCCAGCCCAGAGTAAACGAAATACGTGAAACTGATGTTGGTTTTTGAGAGTTTTTTCTTCTTATGGCTCTGTGTGATGTCAGAGACAGCAAAAATCCTTGATGCAGTCATCTCAGGCACACAGCTATGAGCCAAGAAGCTCCGCCCTCCTGCTGTTCACACCTTCTGTTTATAATAAGACGACAATCAGAAGAAAGTTGGTTTAAAGAAAGGGGGATAAGAGCTGAAATGGCTGTTTCAGTCTGAGGATGAACAGAGGAGCTGCACTCTGGTCCTCTATAAGACATCGCTGATCCATTTAAAGCATCTCCGCCAAAGTCTAAGAATGAAATACAGAGCTGGAAATAAGCTAACCTGGCCCTCTGATCATTGATTTAACAGGGTGGATCCAAGCTGGTAGCTGGTAGTTAATGTTGGTTTAAATAAGAAAAAGCAGCAAAGGTGGTGAAAAGATATTAAAAAAAATATGTGCTGTACGAGGAATAAAACATGACATTTACCCTCAGAGTGATGCGAGAGGATGAGGAGGTTGACACAAGAGGCCCCAGCTCCAGAGCCGAAGATGGTGATCCTCTCCGGGTCTCCGCCAAAGTGGCCTATGTTCTCGTTGAGCCAACGCAGAGCCTGAATCTGGTCCAGCAGGCCATAGTTCCCCTTAGCAGACTGATCTCCGGTGCTCAGGAAGCCTTATGTGTGGGACACAAAGATGGAGGGAGGAGAAAGGTGAAGGAGTGTTTTCAGAAGAGGAGGGGGGAGGATGGAGGGGGATGAAGAGAGAACAAGACAAGATGTTATTGGGAAGTGTAGCTTTAATATTTAGCATCTGTCAGGAAAGTGATTCCCACTTTGGCCTGTAGCTCCACTTCTGGGAGGGAACTGCAAGAGTGTAGAGAACGAGAGCGCTCGAGTGTGCAGCACCATCAGTCATCAACAAGGAGTCGCAGCCGGTGCACAGAGACAACAAAGGGAGTGGCACAAGCAAGTGCTTTTTCAGCCCCTCTCTTAATGACGTTTTCTCTCTCTAATGTCATTGAGCAGCAACTTCTGAACAGACCTACTCAGAGTACGACAGCCGTGTGTCTGAGGAACGTAGGAGGCCCTGACCTGAATCGTACAAATAACCAGATCAAATATCATCTCACATGATACGAAATAGAAAGAAGACCAAACAGAAACATTTACCTTCACAGGCAGAAGATTGTAGGACAGAAAAAAAAAGCGACACAGGTGCCACAGAAAAATGCATGAATATTCAAGTTCAATTAAAGTACCCCAGCAACTCAAAACACATGCTGTGTGTATCCCATCACACCCATGAAGACTCTGAAATGAGCAAATGTCTCAAAGGGAGCGATCTGAATTAACTGAGAATGTGGTCTGATTGGAAAAGCCAAAGCTTCACAGTTCCTTACATGCATCCTCTCATGAGCTGTGCAGGGGCCTAATTTGCATACATAATGTGAACTATACATACCCCGAACACCTCCACTCTATGCATGCAGCACTGTTAGCGCATTAATTATTCATTCGGTGCTTTGTCTGATATAATTGAGTTTAATTTCTTCATTGTACCTCATAATGACACAGAACGCTGTTTTCAAATCAAATTCCCCCCGCGGAACGATAAAGCAGCCGACGCTTCCCGAAGTTTCCCCGTAAGACGACCGTCCCGTTTATCAGAGCAGCCGAATAATACCTCGCCCTTTATGACGTTCGCCGACATTTGCCTCTCACGATTACTGGTAAGTATCTTCGATTGTTCCACCAAAGACCTAAATCTTTCCTATTTGAGTACCCATTAACCGGCAGCCCCTGAGATCCTAACGGGACTTCTAATTAAAGCTTTATTAAAGACAGGTGCACTGGAAAGGTCATCAATTAAGCTGCTACAGTGGAAGCTGAACACTTGTATGCTGGTAGCTGCTCTGATCAGCTCTAACACAAACATACAGTACGTTATCTGCTATGGGTGTCTCAGTAGTGTTATCAAGATAAACGGGAATTTGGGAGCCAGCACACCAACATAAACATTTCTTAATTTATTACACATTTAATCTGCTCAGCGCTGGTTACACTGTGAAACAGCTAGGCCCGACTGTATTTATGGGGTCTAATCATCTGTCTGTGGAGGAAGAATAAAGGAAGGAAAATCTAAATAAAGACAAATAACTCAAGCCAAATTAAAAACTAAAAATACAACCAAGAACTGTATATATTATGTTATAATTGAACAGGAATTATTAGGTATATAAGTGAGAGGGGGGTAAGGGGGACTTACTAAGGGCTTACACATGAGGATGTGCTGCCACCTTGTGGTAAAAACAAGAAAGACCACCTGCATTTTCTCCAAATATCCATCACATACTACAGAAACACATGCTTGATATTATGGCATGACTATGTAGTGGCTATAACTGAGAAATCACAGAGAAACCTGATAATAATTATTAAACACAAGAACATCCAAAGAATTACAGTAAAAAGAAGACAAGTTATTGGAATTTACTCGCATATTCGTCTAACTACACACCAGCGAACCTGCTGCACCTACACGAACGCATTAAAACTGGATAATCAAACTTCTTTCCATAAACCCTGAAGCCCCCACACTGGCGGAGCTGCTGCTGAGGAGGGAGGGCGTTTACTGCTCCGAGAAAGGTGGTGAGCTCATTACTGTCCACATGAATCCAGCTCATGGAGAGATGAGGAATATGAAGTTTGTTGCAGGGCGAGGGAGGGGAGGGGAGGGGGGTGTTACCTGATCACCTTTTGTGCATGAATATTTCATTTTAATTGCACTGCACCACAAACGAGCTGTCGATGCTGCACAGAGTTTACGGCAGTAACCAAACTAATTACGTCAAGTACATAATTAATCAATATTTTCCTACTTTCTCTTTCATTTTTACAGTTCACCTTTACGATCCATAAAACAAAACAGATCAAAGTGCGTCTCGAGAAGCATCTCATTCCATTACGGCTTTTGTGCTGCTCTTAAAACACCACAAACACTCACAAATAAGCAGCATGTTTGGGTGCGTTAAATAAGCCGAGCACAAACAAGAGGCAAATAAGCTGCCTAATGCCCTACTGTAATCACCATGATATATTAAACATAACCAATTATGCTAATGAGGTCATTAATTTGGCTAATTACTGCAATGCATAGCAATATTTCTGTGTCAGCACAGTTTCTTGGACAAAGAAGAAAAGAGAAAGCTCTGGCAGCAAAGTCCAAAGGTGGGAAATAATCATTATTGTGCAGCTTCTTGAAGCATCTATTATCACAGTGGCTGTGCCGGTGGAGCAGCAAAACAGAGAAGTGGGCCACACAGAGCCAGCAGACACCCCAGATCCTCGTGTTATCTTTCATAACAGCCGAAGCCGCCGTCTTCTCTGCACCTCCACGCTGCGTCCATCTGACAGAGAGACAGTGCACAACAGCAGGCCACTTCACCCGTCCTCCCCCCATCTACCCCCGTCTGCTCTAATCTGATAAAAGGCTTGAGGAAAAAAAAAAAGAAATCGAGGAGCTGGTGAAAACGCAGCAATGCAAGATGAAAGGCGCGGCGCCGCATGAATAGCCTTTAAAATGGCTGTGGTAACGAACAGTGGTTGGGGGGGGGGGGGGGGGGGGGCGATGAGGGAGGGGTAGAGCGAGGCAGAGATGAGAGTAAAGGAAAAGGCGAGGAGGATAGTGGGTGTTCTGTGAGCCCCGGATAGAGGCACAGTGTTTCATCTGCCTCCAAGACACCAGGGGTTGGTTCACATACACACACACGTACACAGAGGGACACTGATCAAAGGCTGACGCCACAGAAAAGACTGCCTCCTTTTCTCTTTATCTCTCTCTCCTCTCCCAAAAACACAGGCCGCACACAACACACACATGTAAGCGCGCAAAGACACAGGGATCAAGCGAGTACGTACTGTAAGCACCCCTCCGAAACGCTCCACAGACTCCAAAGTGTGCACGCACCTCTTCGGGAATTGTGAGCACATGCACGGCAAACTGTGGTGCATCTATCCTGCACAAGTTTGTTGTTTGTGCGCAGCTATTTCTGTCATTATGATCTGTGCGTACAGGTGACAAACAGCACTCCTCACAAACTACATGCCGCACAAAGCCAATGTTAGAGGGTGACACGGGTGCCAGGCAGCAGAGTAATTATTGTTCATCAGGTGTGTGTGTGCGTGTCGCTCAGAGAAATGAACAGATGTGGTGGCTCGAAGCATCTGAATAATGTATAGGACACACAATTTCAATATGTGGCCGCGCACACCCACACACGCGCACCGCTGCCTGCTTCTTTCCGAGGTGATGAAAGCCACCTGTGTGCTGGATAGACTGCACATCCCCAAACTGTTTCTAAGTGCATAATTCCAATTACAGCACCCCATATTTTATGCCACCATCGCCGAAGCTGGAGCGCGCGATCATCCCGCCGCCACGTTAAACGTTTTGCGATTTTTCAAAGGGTCACGCTGAGTGATGCAAGGAGAGGAGGAACGATTTGGAAGCAGGAGAAAAGGGGAAATGAGAGCGATTCCCCTCATTTTCTTCGACAGGCTTAAAAAGGAGCTCTTTTTTTTTAATCCTCCCACAAACACCACTTTGGCTTAGACACAGCGATTGGCTAAGGGTGATTCGCTCCGCTCTTCTCTCTACTTCCCTTTTGTGCTGGCTCTCTATCTAAAGTTGTTATTGCTATTGCCAGCCTGTGACAACCAAATTATCTGTGAAATTATTCAGATTTTATGCCCTCTTACTGGGCAGGACCCCTGTATATGTGAGTGTGTGTGTGCTGAGATGTGTTTGATGCCAGTCCTTTCCTGAGCAGAACAACACACCAAATGAGAGGGTTACCTGCTTAACATTAGAAGCAGGGAGTTCAATTCGCGGCCTTCCTAACGCTTTATTTTGTATTTATCCTCTCCTTCTTATCGCCCAAATCCTCCTTTTCTGTAACAGTCACGTTTGATTGTTGAGAAAACAAACAGCGGCGTGTTAATGGTGATGTAAAATAAAACAGCGGCCTCTCGTTTTTAAGTTATAAAGCTTTGAATCAATCAAACCCTATTTTGTCACGCTGCCAATCAATGCTACTATATTCAGTAATTACCTCTCTGCTGGAGTCTGCGGTTTCTGGGCTGGAGTCGAAAAACCACTGATGCATGAGGGCTCACAAAAATCACTGTATGCATGGATCGATCGGGCCCAGCATTACACCCGTCTGATACCGTGTAGGTCCATCAACACAGCTCTGATTCAACAGGGCGAAAAACGGGACCTGTGGGGGTCTCCGGTGATGTCGGGCATGAGGGGAAAAGCAACTGATCCTGATGCTTCCCAGCAGAACATCACATCGTTATCATTCATTTTAACTCTTCATCTCTTAACAAAAATCCACGCAGAAGGACACTAGTGGCTGTGAGGTGACCCAAACCCAAACTGAAATTCAGCAACTTGTAGCAATAACGGGTAAAATAACTGCAGCCAAGTGAAGTGGGGAGATTTATATCAACCTATTTTTGAGGTTACCAAAGTAGTGTGTGAAAAACTTTACATGTTAACAGGTTTTAGTTGTCTCAGTTGCTGATTGGTTTATGATCCGGCTTTACTGATAGTTTACTGTCACTGGCATCGGCCTCAGTGTGGAACCTTTTAACACAGATCTGTACTGAGGTACTGCTATCGCTGCTAAACCGCCCCCTGAAATCATTCAGCAAACATGGGGTAACTTTTAACATGGTGCTGAAACAGGAAGTGGAATTTATTTGTTAGCAGAGAGCTAGATTTACTGAGTGGGTCAGATTAGCGTGGCACTGCAGTAACCAAGAAAAAAAGAAAAAAAGCTGATGGGTGATACTAAAAAAACTCCTAAACAAAACACCAATCTGTGAACACAGAAGCAGCAGGTTCATTTCAATAATGATCAACACAAAGAACCGAGAGCAGTACAAATTAGCGAGTTGCAAACGAGCAGACGCGACGAGGTAGAGCTCTATTAACAACAAGCACCGATTGATATTTGTAATCTCACAGCACATAATAAAGAGCAAGAGCAGGTTTTAGTCATGAGGACAGGCAGCGGGAGAAAAATGCACATGTTTGGATGCAGGAATGAAGTTTTCCATCAGAAGCTAATAGGGAGCAGGCAGGGTCGGAGATGGTTCTTCAGTCTGTGTCTGACAGCTGATGGATGTCCAGTAGAGCACAAAATATTACATGCAGTGCAGACATGTGAACATCACACTCATCTGGTCGCAGCGGATGGCCCCGCCCCTCCCTAAGCCTGGTTCTGCTGGAGGCTTCTTCCTGTTTTTCTTTCCCACTGTTGCCAAGAGCTTGCTCATAGGGGATCATCTGATTGTTGGGGTTTCGTAGTGGCTTGAGTTGACTGCTTTGGTAATTTTTTCAATGAAACTGAATTGACTTTCTGTGTGATACTGCAGGAAACTCCTATTAGCCTAACCAACCTTCACTCATATTAACGGCTGTATTCTGACAGACATTTTAATAGAAAATATGTGAAGGACAGTGAGTGAAATGCTGATTTGTGATGCTGAAGAACTGTACACCCTCATTTCACAGCATCTCACCTGTCATTCCAAATAAATGAATTCTCCTAGTGGCAACTGCGCAGCCGTATGAAGGTCAGGTAAGAGGTAAGAACAATAACGTGCACACATGCTGTTACCTCAAATACTCAAAGGTGTCAGCAAATAAACCAGGACATTTTTTTTTCAAGAATCCAACTTTCCGTGTTTCGTATTTGAATCATTAATAGTTGAATATGCATCACCTTTTTTGCACTCTGTCTCTCTCCTCGTGGACGCTCCTGCATTCACTCTTATGTCATTCATTCTTTCATCTGCTGCGTCCCTTGTGGTTCTGACTCTTTTCCTTTCAGGGTTGGGTTTGGAGCTGGAGCTGCTAGCATCTGAAGTCCTGACACTGGTGAGAGAGAAACCAGGCCAGCTCCCAGCAGAGCACGACCATATGCACACAAGCGTTTCTCGTAGCCTTCAATCTGCCCATGCGGGCTTCTGTGTGTGTGTGTGTTTGTGTATGTTAAGCATGAAGGGGTGTGATTGCTCTTGTTTTTGTCACAGGCCAGTCCAAGTGTGTCAGAGGGATACAGACGAACACACACACGTGCACACACACACACACTCGGTCATACTCTGAGGGAGGATGGCAGCAAAGGAGAAGTGGCTGACAGAGACAGAATGAGTCACAAAGGGACAAACACAGTGAGAGGAAGTGAGATGATAGATTGCCAGGTGTGTGTGTGTGTGTCCACAGGGATGAGAGAAAGACCAGTATCTATTTCACTCTTCTTCTTTAACAAGAGTCTTTATAGAGTGGAGGTGTGCGTCTATCGATCAGGTTTTGTTGCCCTGTGAACACTTTTAGAGCCCTGAGGAACAATAGCTCATCCTCCTCATCACACACTCCCATCATGAGCTCTCTCCGTGTTGTGTGTGTGCGCCTCCTTGTCTCCTTTTCTTTGTGTTTCTACATCTCTTCTTCAGCTGAATTCTTTCGCCCCACTCCTGTTTATCTTTCATTCAGCTCCTTCGGGTGTGTCCGTCCCCGGGGTCTTCCAACCAGTCAGAGGGTAATGGCGGGTGAAATAGGGGTGCCGTGGGCCAGATCGGACACGATGTATAGTATAGTCCAAGCTGTGTG